TTTGGGTGTATATTCTTTGTTGTATATGTGCATTGCGCATAAGTACCCCCCCCCCCCCCTCCAAAAAAAAAAAAATTACAAACTTTGTTTTTTATTGCAAAAGGTAAATTTTGCATCGCCGATCTCTTATTCTACGCCCAAATTTCGCGCTAGCGGTTCGAACCACATGAAAAAGTTTCAGCACTAACCGTTTTATTATTCAACAGTTATACTTGACTTTCTGATATTTGAAGCAGGGAAATGGGGGCCGACAGAGCCCTCGAATACTTGGAGCTCTATGGCGCCAGTTACGCCAGTTACCGGAAACGGGCAAAAAATGGGCCCCATTTTCTTAGGGAAATTTTCAGAAAATAACTTCTAAGTTTTGAATAAGATACGGGATAGTGCTGAAACTTTGACATCTGATGGGGACCGCTAGCGGTAGATTTTGGCGTAGAATGATGAAGAATGAGCGTTCGGCAATGCGTAGTAATTGTTATTGCTTTAAAAAAAGGAAAAAGAAACAATTTTGTTGCAGGGTTACAGGCTGTATATTGTTTTTGTTGGTGTTATTGGTGTGTTCGCCTATAGAAGTCTGCAAGTACCGCCGCTGGATGCCGCCACCTTGCGGCTTGCGTGATGGTTGCCAGAGTGCCGCCCGAACAAAACAAATTCCATTCACGGTGGCCAAGCAAGCATTTGAACCGTGGCCGCTTGCAAACGTGACTAGAGTGCATGCTCCGCCAATACCACAAGAAAAACAAAGCCTGCGCCACCTCACCTCCTACCACCCCCCCTCCCTTTACGTCACCACTATAGTAGATCAAGGCAGCGCCACCTAGCATGCGTAAGCATTGTGGCCTTGACACCAGCGTCTCTCGCAGGCTCTCCCAAAGAGCACGGCGACGCCCAAACGAACGTTCGCCCGCTTGCTCTGCGGCGTCTCTCACTGAGCTTCGGCCTGTTTGCCGCTTGGGTGCAGGTCGGGGATACACAGACGATGACGTCACGTCCAGGCCATGTCTCGTGTATTGGGCCTTTAGTGCCGAGCAAAGAGTGCGGCGTCTGCTTCGCGACGTAGCGACGGCTTTGCGACGTCGGTTCCAAGAGAGAGAGCGGAGGAAGCGCAGCTCGCTGCCGATGGAGCGGGACGATATCGTGAGTCAGCAAAACGCGCACGCTCAGAAAGAAGCGCAGGAACGCAGCACATTCACTGTACAGTATTGGTTTGGTCAGTTACAGTAAGCACACAGAGACGATAGAGAGTTTTAGGGAACCGTGTTTTGCACATCCGATACGGTACGATGGGCCCTCCGGTACTAACTGCGCATGCGCTACTGCAGAATACTCGCATATGCGCACTTCGTACCGGAGGGCCCATCGTACTGTATAGGATGTGTAAAAGCGGTTCCCTAAAACTCTCGAAATCAGCGAAGCGACGATGCAGTTTTGGCGCTCGGCTTGATTTGCTGTATTGGATCGTGGCATCGACTGCGGTAATGCGAAGCGGAATTACACGCCTCGCAAGGGGGCTCATTTTCTTCTTCTGCGCATGAGAAAGGAAGTAGCAGTGACATCAGAACGCCGAGCCCTGATTGGCTGATCGCGACCCCCTATCTGAGCGTCGTCTGCTCCTTTGCAACGTCGTCTGCGTCTCTCTTACCTTTCCTGCGACTTTCGGAAGGTAAGGTGACCCCCCCGGAGCATATTAAAGAATGAGGAAGGAGGAGGAGTAGGAGGAGGAGGAGGAGGAGGAGGGGTCTACCCTCCCTTCAGTACCCTTCCCTCCTCCTCCTCAGGAGCTGCGCTCCAATTCGGCATTACAGGGAGTTGTAAAGGGCTTTCATTTTTTTACAACTATAGCAGACGCGCATCAAGGAGGGAAGTCAAAGGACTCACTGGCGAGGTGTCCCGAGGCGCCGAGGTTTGTTTTCTAAGAACCGAGAGGTGAGGGTGTTAGTGTCCGCAAGTTCCCTCCCAAACACTTTTTCCCTCCTTTCGTGTGCGGCGAGACCCCTCATTCTTTAACGGCATGGGCAAGTTGGCGCAGTTAACGTCGTCTGCTTTACGTCTGCTAGTCAAAGCGATGGCTGCTTTACCTTTCCTGCGTCTGCCGGAGATTCACCGCTTTTTCAGCGGCGAGAGTCACCGTTGCCTCGGGAAACAAGCAGATAACAAGAGAAAGAAATTGACCTCTTAATCTAAAATTGAGGTCAGCGATCAAAGTATAATACGGGAAGGGTTCACAACGGTCGCGCGGGCATATTCCATTCAGCACGCCAGCCGGTCGTGGGCAAACGGTCGCCGAGTCGCGGAGTGCCTGCTAGGCTTAACAGCCGTGCTCGCTTGGTCGCGTTCGGTGGAATCGTGGCCGTTGGTGCTTTTCCCGGGTGTTTGTGGATCTAGCGTTCTTGTTCGCGTGGTCTGTTTCAAGTACTTTTTACTGTTTTCTTGCTGCTCGAAGTCGGGACGCGTGTGAAGCGCGCGTAGAAAAATAAACGTTCGTGGGTCGTCGCGACCGCGACGCTGTCGGCCATGCTGATTTGATCGTAAGAAGTGCGTAAGACAGCTTCGGAGCTCTCGGAGGATTTCGTCGTAACCTGCTCAAAACTTGCGAAAATTTCGTTTCGTGAATACGAATTTGTTCTTAAGTTTTGTCTTACGCACATTTTTGGCGTAAGATCGTTTTGTGAATCTGGCCTCTGCACTTCCGAAAGTCGCAGAAAGGTAAGACAGACGCAGACGACGTTGCGAGCAGACGACGTTGGAAAGGAGCAGACGACGCTCAGGTAGGGGGTCGCGATCAACCAATCAGGGCTCGGCGTTCTGACGTCACCGCTACCCCCTGCGCAAGAAGCTCACGAACTTTCCCTCTGCATAGGGAGTATACGTCTGACTCCGCGAAAATCCAAAAACTTTGGCGCCGACAGCTTTTCCGTGGTAGGAACGGCTGGACGTACGCAGCCTCGGCGATCTCTTTTTTGAATTGAGAGAGATGGTCGCCGCCATCTATCGTCGTAGGCAGCCCTCGAAACAGTGGAGATAGCCGTCTCTTCTGTCTTGGCGAATCCGGTATTTCGGTGCGTCGGCGGCTGCCCTCTCCGTCGAAAGCAGCGCGATATGCACATATGTGTTGTCTCAGAAGAGGGCTGTCTCCACCGCTTGGGGAGAATTAGGTGCTCTACAGACGCGCTGTCTAGTACGTTATCCTATTTTTAGACCGGAGGTTTCTGAGAATACTTTCGAAAATGCCTGAAAATAGGGTGGCTGAAAAAAATGAAAGCCGTTTACAACTCCCTGTAACGCCGAATTAGAGCGCAGCTCTTGAGGAGGAGGAGGGAAGGGTACTGAGAATCGCGTGTTCTCGGAGGGGGGGGGGGGGGGGGGGGTTACGTGACCCCCCATAGGTCAGGTGGGGGGGTCACGTGACCTCGGTGGGGGGTGGGGTGACATGACGCCCCAGAGAAATTTTTCGGCTAGATTTAGCGGGGGAAATTATTCCGCTAGATTTATTGGGGAAATTTGCCCATAATGCACCGCGCGGTTACGCCGACGGCGACGGCGACGCCGACGCCGCTCAAGCAGGAAACGAGCGCCTATGAGCTGCGGTCTAAAAAAAGTATCTGTTATGAGGAACAAGCCACGGCGCACCTCAGGAATAGCAAAGACATACCATAGTCGGTTGCAAGCTAAGAAAAAACCGGAAATGCCTCTCAGAGGAAAATGTAATCCTACCCCGAGAAACGCCAGCCAACCGTTTTCATGACGTCACGATTCCGTGGACCAATGGGTGGAGCTAAAAGATTGTTCTCAGGTTGCATCCGACTTTAAAGAACGATGCAACAATTTTTGTACTTTGCGCAAATACCACTTAAAATGGATCCCTGATGTTAATGGCCTATGAAACACGCGTTCATTTTTCACCCCACGCAATAAAAGTCCCAGAAAAAAATCAAAGAAAAACGAGCAGCGTTCACCCCCTCAACTCGCAGCCAGAACAAGCGGCCACGTGATCTGGAGCCGATTATATGCCGCCAGTGTTGATCATAGCCACGCGCGAGGGTTGGCAAAGCGCAGGACACGCGCTGAGTTCTAGACATTGTTATGGCCCGGCTGTTGTCGTCGTTGCAGCGATTGGACACGGGTCACTACCCGAATGCTTCTCGAGCTAGCAATTATCACGAGCCCAAGTCGAGTGCCCACGCAATGCTCGGGTCCAATCTATGAACCGCATTCAAATATCGTCACTTGGGTGTACTGCAATCTCCACGTTACGTCATCAAATTTTGCAAGGGAGAGATTGAATGAAAATGATCGCTTTTGTCCTTGAAATTACACCGCAACAAAGGAGTTTCTTGGCGAGTGGCGTTGCGTGTGAGCATCCTTGAGTCCTAGGTGTGCCAGTAAGCTCGTGTCAAGTGAAAAAACATTCCAGTTGAATATCGTTGCACAGGTCCTTTAATAAACCGATCTCACAGCCAGCTTGACTATGCTACCGCTGCCGCAATGCATCGAGGGAACTTAAGTCTTTCTGCACGTGCATGAACCTTGCTGGAAATCCGCGCGAGTAGCGCTCGAGGCGGCATGAGCAGTCTCGGGCTCTACAGCCAGCTTCTTCTGAACTTAAGTTATGGCGGTTTCACGAATCCGCCGTACGCTTGGTGAAAGCAACCTATAATGGCCGAAGGCTTACTATTTGGTTTTCTAATGGATTAAAATGAACATAAGGTTCAGATTAGAAACTTGCTGAGCATCAACGAAAACTCCCAAATAAATTAATTTTAGGACTACTTGAACAACGTGAGTTTTCGATCACGCTCATCACGTTTATAATTGGAATGACATCTTTATTTTCACTCAATAAAAAGTAAATTAGTAGGTATTTTAGGTAAAAAATTTACTAACTCGAGTTTTGTTGTTGTTTTTGGTGTTATTTTTTGGCAGTTCCTGGCATCGGTAATGGCTGACAGTAGGTTCCAGAAAAGTACGATCAATTGTAGCGTGCCTCCGAGCGCACATACATAAGTTAGAACCCACCCGGGACGAGGTAAAGAGGCCACGGTGCTGTAGTGCGTGTGCTCAGCGGCCTTCGGGCTACCCGTCGTTCCCGATGTGTACAACAGTGCGACGACTTCCTGCTTCACGTCGGACACTGGAAATTCCTGGAAGGTGTCTTCGTTCAGTTTTTTGAAGTCCAATACGGAGACAAAACCCAGAGCGGTTCCTACGGAGAAGTAACCCTGAAAGCGTTGAACACGTATCATTGGTTGCCACATCGTGTCATTTCAAGCGGTGTTGTTCGCGCGGGGAAGAAATGTCTGGGATTACTCCCCGGCGTGTGCATTCATTGCGTAGCGCGAGTTCGTCTGCTTCTTTTGCAGGGGTTGTTCTGACGTCAGTCCAACACCGAGCTCTGATTGGTTCTGATGGGAGGATAGTGGGCAGACTTCAAGGCACCTTGCTTGGAGGTCTACGCACTGTCCGTCTATCGGGAGATACAAACCAACCCCGGTTTTGTAACGGATCAGTTTTCTTTTTTCTTTTTAGTTGTTTGTCATTGAACGTTTCGCTGTCAAATGCAGACCGCTGAAATCTATCTGCGGAATGCTGTAACTAGTGGTCAGCACGAGCCGAACCTGATGCAGTATACGTGTTTCTGCCCGGCTTTTTTTAGGTGAAATTTTAACACCAAGTGTTCTTAGCGAAGTGCGCGAACCAAAGCGCCGTGTGGTCGGCTTCTCACGCTAAACCAGCGGCAAAAGAGCACCTTAGGACACGGCTTTGGCGGTGCTGGTTTAATAACGCGATGGCTCCTAACTTCTACTGTACTTTAACATCTTCGAAAGTGTCGTCGCAACTGATGATAAATAACCAGGGTCACAACTCGTATCGTCACAGCGAGGCGAATTCATGGTCATGACGTCACGGTAGGAAGCCACATCCGAAACGTTTTGGCGCTAATACTTCGTTTCACCGTAACTTGGCAAAGAGCAAAGGCCGCGGCGCCCTCGAGCCAATCAGAACGACGGAGGCGACGCACGTGACCGCCCTTCCCGGAGGAACAAGGGCGAGAGCTGCGTCACTTTTGTCAGCCCGTAACTCAAAATTTGTACAAGGCTGTTTTCCCCTCTCCGTGGCTGCGGCAGCAACTAGTGAAATAAAGTAGGGTCACGTGTCTCCCACCCGCACTCTGATTGGCTCATTGGAACCATAGCCTTCACCGTTTGAACGTAACGGTGAGACCCTTTTAGACTGCCGGAGTGGCTAGTGTACCTTTACGTCCACCTTGTTACGAAAGTCATTGAATCGTTTAACTTCATTGACTGTGGTGAGGATGTGGGCGGCGTTGCTGTCTCGAATCCTGTGAAGAATATCATCTGAAACGAGTAAATTAAGATCGGCAAATGAATGATCACATGCTGCGGTGGTTGTGTCCACCGTATGAGCCGTATTTACAAAAAGTCGTCGCGGCGATTGCAAAGTTCGATGACGAAATTGGGGGATCGCATTGTTTACAATGCCAACAATGATCCACTCTTAGTAAAAAGGGTATCTATAGTCCTCCCTAATGGGAGGAATGCTCTTGTAACCTATGTTCCTTTAGAAAGGAAGAAACTTTTGTCCTGAAAGCAGGGTAGCAAAGTTCCTCCGTCGTCTGCATCTCAATATGACAGCCCCTAATCGAGCAAATCAAGCTCAATAAGGCCTAACGAGGAACGCTACGTCTATTGTGCGTGGTGAGAGAAGCAGCAAATGAAAGCGAAGCACGAGCTTTCCGCGAACTGCATTTGTTTGCGAAGCCAGCTTCCTCCCGCAGGTAAACAAATACGTGTTTCGAAAGCAGTTACTCAGTCTTCTCGTCGACAGCGCTACAATGTTAAATGGAGACAACCGATACCCAGTCATTTCGCTCACTCTACGTCTTAACTTTGTTATTACTCGTGCCACAATGCCTTCGTCAACCGCGCATCACGGAAACGTGATAAACCATTCGCGAAGCCAAAAACCGCTCCGAAAAGAGCAATTTCGAAGCAGCTATATGCAATAGTTGCTTCGAAATCAATAATAAATTAATAAATTATAGCGTAGCATGAAACAAGGTTAAATCGCTTGCCACCAAATGGCAGGGTCAAGCAGAGTGATTTCACGTAGCTAGGCTAGGTGGCGCTAGGTACCGCCCAATTCACGTTCTATAAAAAATATTTTTATTCGTTCACGCCACTATTGCGCTTCGTGCATTACTCACATTACTCATATTAAAAGGATCAGCTGAACATGTACATTCAGAGTATACACATACACGGCACATACTAACAACATCAATCCATCAACCGACTAACCCGATTACTGCTTTGAGCTCTGCGTTTCCGCCTTTTATACTCGTCGTATTGAAGGTACGGATTTTCTCGGTGACCCTAAGAGATAAATAATACTCCCAGCATGTTGATTTTTTCTTCAGTAATATTATACATCTGAGAGTAGTTTGAACGGCTCAGGGGATGAATTTATTAGTCAAAAGGAAACGCTGATGCCCTAATTCTTCGAAAGCCAATACAATATAGCCCTCTACTGCGGTTCTCAGCCATGTGTTAACTTCCCCGCACGGCATGTCGCAGTCAGTATTTCTATTGTAGTGTTGTTTTTTTCTATTTGTTTTGCTCGCGTGCGGCTGCAACTGTCGTCTTGAATTAATCTGTGCAGAGTGGATATTCACTCAGGTGGAAGCGAAGCTTCACGGGCAGAGTAATCGCTTTTCGATAAACTTGGATGAACTCAAAGCCGCGACTTGCGCCAAGTGAAAAGTGTACGGAGCTACGCGGTGGCGAGCTCGAAAACTTCTTGCAATCATCCTTGCGCGCCACTTGGAGGGCAGTTTCTCCAGGAACCGTAGTATATTTAAACGGCAAAATAAATAGCTTTTTTTTGTTGATTTTAACTACCATCATTACTTAATGCTCAAATTCCAAACTGTACATATACGTACTTTAAGTCACATTTTTACACTCTTCAATCCTTTCTCCGGAGCGCAATCGCTCACGGGGAGGAGACAACAGGAGATCGCAGACGACAGACACATTGGCTGCTGTACGATAGGAGCTACGGTTTAGACCAGCGTTCCAACACGACTATCCGCAGGTCGATCAACTGCATCTTAAACCCTCAAACGGTCTTAAACTCCTTAATGTAAATCAGAATTACTACCTGCGACACTCCGCTGCTGCTACCCTACACAGTTCAGGAGCAGTTTTTCTTTTCATCTCTTAAAGCTGATATTAGTTCTTCAATGTTGAAGGCACCGTCTGTGGGGACGAGGTGGTCACAGTGTCATACACCTTGACTGTCTAGGTTTCGATAAAACAAAACTGGTCTGCAAATCGTTGTGCAGCTTTTTTTCCGACTTGTACCCAGACGAAACGCCATCGATGCGTGTGATAGGTGCAGATCCCGCTTGCCCATAAACACATGAAGGATTCTCAAATTTGGGTTCTAGATTTGTTTGTATCCGCTGACATAGTTGTCGTCCCAGTGCTTAGATTACGGGTCGTTTTTTTTTTTTGTTTTTTTAGCACATCGGGTTGCTGCTGAATTCATTTCTTTCAAGTATATATATATATTTTTTTAATGCTGGGCTACTTTCTTTGGAGTTTTCGTTCGGCCTGTCTTCGCACTGCACAAAGAGAAACGTGAGGTCAGGCTCTGGATTGTGGTCTGGGAGCTTTATCTTGATGGTAGCTTGATCTGAGCTAACCATGGTTGCTTGTAATATGGGTTCTGAAGACGTTTCCATGTGTGATTAAAATAAACTTCAGTGGGTAACGTAGCTGATATGCTGTTTAGTTGCATGAACTCCATACCGCTCAAAAAATTTCGGATAGTGCTCGCTGCCCGTCGTATCGGGGTATGTCGTTCATCTTACGCATAAGCCTGTAGAATAAGCAATGATGTCGATGGCGCAATACGTATCAGGAGATCGAAAAATATCGGAGCGTCGTCATTTGCAACAGCAAGGTCGCACTCTTCGAAACATTTTTCTAAACCCCGACCATGACTATCATCTCTGCTTGATCCCCAAAGGCTGTGATGTGCATTACAATCACCACAGAGTAAGACTAGATCGTCACAACGTTTACTTATTTCTTTTACAGCTTCTGAAACCTAGGTTTCATTTTTTCCAGCACGAACATATAAAGATGCCACGCACAAACTTTCCCCGGCCATCGTGACACGCGCTGCTGTGAGTTCTAGTATATCTTGAATGCACAAGGTCGCTTGAATGAATCTAGGGAAAGTTCGGAAGCCGTAAACACTATTTGAAGTGCATATAAAAGCAGTGTAAGAAGACCAAAATGCTTAACGCAGTAGAAAAAACGTGTACGTGGCACAATCCGCAGACAGGAATGTCACATTTACAGTTTCTCCGTCGCAATCTCGCGTTCCCCTTTTAATTTTCAGATTGAGTTGACGAAAGTCAAAGCAACAAACTTCGCCTTTCTACGAAACATTTTTTCCGAAAAGTCACAATCACATTTTCTCCTCACCGTTTGACAAGATCGGACTGGATACCACCGCAACTCCCCCTGCGAAAATTACGCTGTACATGACGATCAGGTTTTCCAGGGAATTGTCCAAATGTACCAGGACCATCTCGCCTTTCTTAACGCCGTGACCCTGGAACCCAGCGGCATATCGCTGACACACCTTGAGGAGCTCTGCAAAAGTGATCTCTTCGTCGTCCCAGACCTGCAATATGTTTACAATTTAGACTCCATCCGGGACAGCCTTGTATGGCAATAGCGTTTAGAAGACAATACATGCGCAAAACATCGTCGTTAAAGCTGGACTCCATAAGGTAAATATGCTGCGTCACGTGACGTCCCATGACGCCATGGTATCGCGTGGCACTTTGAACTCGACTTTATGGCCAGATTTGGTCGGGAACTTGGCGTCACGTGATATGACGTCGCGCGACCTGACGTCAGGTCACGTCCGTGACATTACGCCGCTATATTTAGAAAGCGAATTGACGTCACCTAACCTGACGTCACGTGTAGTTAATTTCTCCACTAAATCTAGTGCGTAAATGCACTTACGGACGGGCGTATATCTGGGAAAAGGGGTTCCCTTCCAAAAAGCTTTAAATTCATTTTCCCTAGTTTTACACACAAGTTGCTCGGAGGAGTTGCAAGTTAGGCGGACATCGAACGTTTGGAGAGTATTGGTGCTGTTCGATTACAGAGAGGTAGATATCGTGATCCAGCGGAAAACTACTCTTCGTCGCTACGTCTCCACAGAAAAGAGCGAGTGGAAATCGTTCTATGCCCGGAAAATGTTGCCACCCCTGTTTTTGCGGGTAGAGTAGCGGCATCAATTTCAACATTCGCGCCACTGACGACAGCGGCACAATGTTGCATAAATGAATGGCCGTGGCGTGGAGGAAGCTTTATAGTAATTAAACCAATAAACGCATTTCACGTCTTTTCATAGCAAGAATTCACGTCGGCGCACACTTCCAGCTTACAATGCCAATAAACTAATACCCGGAAATGTTTGTAAATATATCAGCTTGAACTTTAGAAATAACTAGAACACAAAGACAGAGAGGACAGGATATGACACACAGCTGTGTGTCATATCCTGTTCTTTCTGTCTTTGTGTTGTAGTTATTTCTAAAGTTCAAGCTGATATATTTGCAAGTATGTACCAACAAGCTCAACTCTTAACCGTTATTCAGTAACTAATACCCGTGCCTCACGGGCAACTCGAATGCCATTTGCAACGAATGACATTGGTTGGTCGGCGAATCATCTCGCAACCTGTCGCGCATGGAATGCGCCACGCCCGGAGTGTCGCGCGCTGATTGGCCGTCGGCTCAAATGTCATTCATTTTAAATGGCATTTGAGTTGGCCGGGTATAAAGAGCTATTTTTTCTGCTTGTATTGTTGCTAAGACAATACACCCCAAAAAAGTGGAGGCCAACATGCAATTAAGTACATTAAAAGAACGAAATAAAACGGCGGACTGTTTTAACGTATTTGTTTTATAGTGACAAAACTGAAGGCGCCACTGCAAAGGCTTAGTAAAAGCTTCGAGGAGCGCGACATCGGGGCGCCCGGGAAACCAGTCACCTCAAGCTATAAAAGTTGCTTAAAATTTTTTTTTTTTTTTTTACATTTTGTTTGAGTCTTTTGAATGCAAGATGCTCTCTGTCGTTTTGTGTGTGTGTGTGTGTGTGTGTGTGTGTGTGCGCGCGCGTGCGTGCGCGTGCGTGCGTGCGTGCGTGTGTGTGTGTTTGTGTTGAGCGTCGTGAACACGCGCATTTGGTTCGCAGCGCACACGTTTGGCAACTGGCCAACTGATTGAAAAGGTTTACTCCGACTTAACATAACAAATTAATAACAAAAGGTACAGACGTTTCGCCACCTATGCAGGTGGCATCTTCAGTATACACGGACACAAATGAGGTGAGGTCGACCAGTCTACTTATCACACACGTCCCCGTAAACGTCCGGCAGGGGGCCACGGTTGGTGTTGCACACCGATGAGTCACGGCGAATGCACCAGGACTCGACGAATTTTCTTTGCCCCCACCTTTGTTCTCGGGCCAGCGTCGTCGCATTGTCCAGGTCGAAAACTGTGTCCTGTCGTCCAGCAGTGTTCGACAAGTTCCGTCTTGGACCCCGTGGCATGGGTGGCCTTGGCAACGTCCCTTTTGTGTTCTTTCAATCTCGTTGCCCTCTTTCTGCCCGTTTCGCCGATGTAGGTCGCGCCACAATCCCCGCACTGCACTTTGTATACGACCCCCCTCTGACCGTCTGCAGAGGTGCGGTCCTTCGGTTTCGGGAACACATTCGCTAAGGTATAATGTGCTTTAAAAACAGTTTGTACGCCCAGCGGGCGCAAAGCTCTCCGAACAGCATCTGACACGCCCTGGACATAGGGAATAGATACAATAGACGTTGCCCGCACTCGTGACTCACTCCCCCTTCCCCTCTGCATTCGCCTCTGCGTATCGTTAATAAACGTCCTCGGATAATGGCGCCGCTCTAACGCACAAACCACATTTTCTACCTCTTGCAACCGTAGCTGCTTGTTAAACGTTCGGAGAGCTTTGCGCCCGCTGGGCGTACAAACTGTTTTTAAACCACATTATACCTTAGCGAATGTGTTCCCGAAACCGAAGGACCGCACCTCTGCAGACGGTCAGAGGGGGGTCGTATACAAAGTGCAGTGCGGGGATTGTGACGCGACCTACATCGGCGAAACGGGCAGAAAGAGGGCAACGAGATTGAAAGAACACAAAAGGGACGTTGCCAAGGCCACCCGTGCCACGCGGTCCAAGACGGAACTTGTCGAACACTGCTGGACGACAGGACACAGTTTCGACCTGGACAATGCGACGACGCTGGCCCGAGAACAAAGGTGGGGGCAAAGAAAATTCGTCGAGTCCTGGTGTGTTCGCCGTGACTCATCGGTGTGCAACACCAACCGTGGCCACCTGCCGGACTTTTACGGGGACGTGTGTGATAAGTAGACTGGTCGACCTCACCTCAATTGTGTCAGTGTATACTGAAGATGCCACCTGCATAGGTGGCGAAACGTCTGTACCTTTTGTTATTAATTTGTTATGTTAAGTCGGAGTAAACCTTTTCAATCATGAATTCACCCGGCTTTTGGAACATTTTTGCACTGGCCAACTGGCCCAACTTTCCCAGCTTCCACTGTTCTATGGTGCCTGAAGCGCGTTCCCAACTGGTATGATTAGCGTCCTATGCTGCCCATACATCAAAAAAAGGCCCGAAGTAGCAACAAGTGACGTCACAGCAGCCGAAGTGTCACGCTCTTGGATGTCGCGGCTAGTCCTAGAAATGCTGGCAAAAAGCGCGAGCAAACGCGAGTGTCGCTGTCGTCGCGGCCTCCCAACTTCTGGCTGCGGAAGTTTCCGTGAACATTCACACCAGAGGGTGACCCGCAGCAGAACAGGCGTCTGCCACATCCACCTCCGCTGCTGGAACACCGCCAGAATTGCGGTCGGCGACAGCATGGCATTTGTATGACGTCATCCGGCAGAAATGGAGAGACCAGTTTTTTAAGTTGAAAATATTCAGCAGTCGGAGACGCGTTCCAGGCGACATAGTTATACCCCTGTCTCACAATAGAATGTTATATTAGTTCCGTTGACTGACATTATGTCTGTTCGATTTGTCCAGAGAGTTCTGATCTAGTTTTTTCCGAGTTCAGAAAAGTGCCGGGGTCGTGCACATAGAGTTATAATGTAGCTAGAGGTTCAACTTGTGCTAGTGTCTATTCGACTTCCTGGACACAAGTTGAAGCAGACTGCAACCAGTCTACTCTTGCAGTGCTCCTGTGCAGTCCTATAGGGGAACGCGCGTTCATTTTGTCTTTTCGCCGGACAATACCATATATCGCTTTTGTTATTTGGGTCCTATACCAAATAGTATATACCTTTATTAACATTGTAATTGTGTAGTTGTTTTAGTTACAGCATTTTTCTTCATCAGGGAACGATGTTTAACTTCGCCATATTTCAAGCCCTAGCCTCTGTTCCACAGCAGGTATGTAAAGACGAGCGACGAGTGACGTCCTCGCCCCGTGTTGGTGGTCATTCTGGATCAAACCCCATTTGTTATTGCCGAGAAAAACAAACTGGTGGTGCGAAATGCATATACCAGTAGGTTTCAGAAGGTGGCCTTACGTCATTGGTAAGGCCGCCATAATGGACGTTGATGTGACGTCAGTGCAAGCCAGACATTAGTTAATTCGGTATCGGGGGCTGTTCACGAATCAATTTTATCGGCACAAATATATGCAAGAACACTGTTACATTCGACGCATGTTGTCAAGCTTACCAGAGCAGTTCGGCAGCCATATTGTTCGAGGCGCTGTTTCACCACCTGGTAAACCGTCATTTCCGGCACGGGTTCCGAAGGGTACGGAGAATAGACGACGCCATTTTCGATCCGGGCCTTGAGTGTCATTTTTTCTCAACAAGTTTAAATGAAATACCTTAAAAAAATATATATATACAAATTTGTAGCGTTCGAAGTGATAGGCAATCTACAGGGTTAGATCGAGGAAATAAAACCCGGTTTCTCGACTCGAATAACTGAACTGCGCATCGCAAAAAGCTGAATCCCCGTGAGTATGTGAAGCTAGTGGTTTTGATCAAATTCGAAAGTGTGGGCACATGACGTTACATGAATCAAAGCAGACTTGGGCAGTAATCTGTTTCAAGGAATGGATTTTTGTAATCTGTTACTTTTAACGCGAAAGCATTAACAGTCCAATGGAGCAAACCGACGTCATCAGCTTTAAAGCCGCACCAAACGGCACCTTCCCGTGCCCCGATGGAGCGAAGCCTGTCGTCTCTAGCAGAAATCTCATGGATCCATTCGCTGGCGCGCGTCACCGAGGAACGAGGCTCCCTGTGGCTCTCGCGCGGCGTAGTTCCGAAAAACGCCACCAGAGAAGCCCTCTCCATAACGGTGCAGTGCACGCAGCGGCCTGGCCGCCGGTAAGAGGTGCGGCGGTGCGGGCATGGTCGCGCAGCTCGCTCGAGCAAACTCCAGACAGGCTGGACGGTCGAGCCCAGCGCGGCGCGGACACTTCAATAGAACCATGTTGAATATACCTGAGACTGGGGTAGAAAAGGACATAAAAGTTGAAGAAACAGAACAGGACCAGGACGATGTCTCAAACCCAATCTCAGGTATATTCAACATGGTTAACATCCACCAGCTCGCCTGCACCCTTACTATTGTATCTACTTCCAGAGAGCGCGCGCTCGGCCGTCGGTTGCAACCACTGCAGTTGCGAAACGTGGCCGTCCACGCGACTACGCCGCAGACGAACTAAGGGAGCGGAAGAACGACATTCATGCTTTCGCATTCACAACTCATAAGAAGTGCTTAGGTGTCCTTGGACCTTCTTTTTCAACTAATTTTGTGATTTCCACGTTACTTTTTGCGGCAGTAATTTGTAATGTAATTTCGTCACCAAATACTGATTACGAATTACTTTAATTACTGTTTACTGTTTTTACAAGTATGCAGATAATACAGAAACTGGAGCCATATGAATGTGCGACCACCCGCTCGACCAAAGCTCAGAAACGAGCGCCCGCGCCCATGCCTTTTTTTAGCACTGCATGCACCTATACTCCGTTCATGCATAAGCTGACAGTGCGTCAAAGCTACAGGCGCGAGATCGGAGCTTTGAGACGTTGCGCTCACGCTTGAATGGCATTTTTCAAAAGAGAGCTTTCGTGGATCGGTTCCTTGACTCCGAATCTTATAACAGAGTTAGACGCTGCTTCTGAGCATGCGCACCGCTAGCTTTGTCTGCAGAATACAAGGGATCGTTTTCGGTTGCCGTAAGCTAGCCGGATGGCGGGTGTGATGAAGGAGCAATGACAAGTTGCGTTGCAGATCATTTTAAAAAACATCAAAATTGTTTCTACTTTTTTCTTAATAAGTATGCGGAAAAAGTACCGTGAAAGTAATTGGTAACGTAACAAGTGAAGTAATTCCTTACTTTTCTGTGAATGTTTAAGTCTAATTCATTACATTTTTCAAGTCCCGGGCACAAGCCTGATCAAAAGGCACAAAAGAAAAAAAAAAAGCTCCGTGATCCGACGGCAACCTAAATTTAGTATTCATCAAAGCGATATTTCAGACTGGGGTGCCTGTAAAATTGATTTGAGTGAAGAAAAGCTTGTCAGGTAAAATGACGATAATGTTTTCAAGCTTTTTCACTGATATAATTGCTTTAGGCACCAACAATCTCAAATATCAGTTTGATGAATATTAGGCTTCGGCAAACGCCCATTCTTAGGTGCACATTCTCACGAAGGCGTGCCTGCACACACGACCCTGCTGCGAACACCGTGAAAAGCGTTCGAATCCTACCCAAATAGATCAGAGCTACTCTGGAGGGTCGTGTCACGTGATAACGCAGATTGAGCTACGCTGGACGCGGGTAGGTTTTCGAACCTTTTAGGTACATCACACTTACTCTGGAGTAAGATCCTATACATTTTGGAGCACGGCTCGTGTTTTTTGTACGACGTATGAGTGGCATGACTGCAGCTTAGTTAAGAGGATGCCACGGTAGAAGGGCCCATGCATTTCCTATAGCAACTTTTTGGTTCTTATTCTCAGCAACTATATCTAACCCAATGGCGTCGGAGTGGTCATATTCGAAAGATATAAAGAAAAAAAAAACATAACAGCTTCGCGGAATTACATCTCAATTTTTTATCATTATTGTTTACGGGGCTTCAAATTACGAGAAAAAAATTTAATTTTCTAACCTTCCACATTTGAGCGTTCAAGAAAAATAATTAAAAGATAAATACGAATTGTGGCACCGCGTTGCGATGTAAAATGTTTTTTACGAATCTTATCTGCCAAAAGAATTTCTCGATGCATTGTTGTTACGAAATGAATTGAGGAAGTTTGCGCTCAGGAGAAACATTCCCAACCATCACGGACATAATCCACTTGCGCCATCTACCTCCAGACACCGGTATCCTGCAAAATTTTCAGTGGCAAGATTCGTTTCCTAGCCACTGAATAAAAATGAGCGCGCAGTTATCAAAGCGTTTCCAGACATGGGTTCTTGATGGGCGTTCACATCATCTCGACACAAAAAAGAGTGCTTAAAAAAAGAGTAAAAGGTGGCTCCAAATGCGATAATAATTTTGCGTAGTTTTATGGGAAATCTTGAGAACGAATTACGAACTTTGCGGTATTAAATTAATCTAGGCAGGCCCCTGAAAAAAGTAAGCGTTTATTAAGGAGGCCGCGACTATGCGGGACTTCTTCAAGCAGGTAGATTTATAGTACTACCATTCCTGAATGCAATTTACGAGATATACCTCCACGAGCTGCACCGAGCGCTTCTACTCAGAGTGAATCAGAGTCATAAGCAAGGTTTGATGCTCCTCACGCTGCCTGTGGTGTGGCCCAGTAATTTGGCGGTCGCTCGTGGCAGTTCCGCATGCGGACCCCAGTGCCAAAGAAGTATGCTTCTATTTCTTTTCACTCGTAAAACAGGTCGAAAGTGGTTTTGCTACAAGGAAGCCTAAAAGTGGTTGGGCTTGTGTGAAGCACTGCTCGAAATGCGGGCTTTTTCACATGCACTGCAAAACCTTGTGGTACATTTTTAACTTGTATTGACGTGAATTGTTGCTTGTCCTTGAAATAAAAAAAAAAAGTGGCGTGGTTCAGTAGCAATAAAGGAAAAAAAAGGTGTGGCGCAGCAGTTATCGCGCCGGGCAGGTGCGATAACTGCTGCGGAATGGTATCCTGGGGGAACCCAGGATAGCATTCCGCTATGCTGGGTTCGAACTCACTCAAGTTCTAACTGTCTCGGGTGCATCTCGGCGGTATTGTGGACCATGGGGGCGTAGACAAATCATCGTTTATTTTATATTTTTTCTCGCGCTTTTATTATGTATATTTCGGCCCGTAGATTAAAACCCTTTTTTCGTATTTAAATAGGCATTTGGGCGCCAGGGCTGAAGATTTTAAACTTTTGTCTACATTTTTTGCATGCGTATATTTTTACACTCTTGTAAACCAGCGGACGTTACTTTTCACAAATGAAATAGGGTGTGTTTTTAGAGGTTTTCGTTTTCCTGTTTTATATTTGTGAAAACCAGTGTAGGTAATATCGGGAGCAGTTCTTAAACCTGACAATCCGGGAGCGATCGAACTTTTCAAGGTGTCATTCCGGAATTCGGGTCTTGACGGGTTGTATTTAAAAAAAATATCAGTAATTTCAAATAAATCACTATAGAGGGTTGGTTTCAGTGCGTTTTGATTTACACCGAGATACTTAAACAATGAACAAGTAATATGCCAAAATCTAGTTCCGGAGCTCACAAGATCTTTCTTGTTTCTCACATGTTCCGTCTAAAGACCTGGCGCCGGCACCGCTTTTAAACAGTTCACCCCCACAATACTCATCCTTCATTTACCCACAAATAACTTGAGGTCAAGGTGGCGAGAGAGCTAATAAAAGATGTTCCAAGAAATATTTGAAATTTTTCTTCTAGTAGCGCAGATCCTTTCATAACTTAAAACATTGACGACGCGATATTTATTAGCTAGGATATCGAGCAGTAACGTCATGCCAACAGATCACTGGGTCAGTACTTATATAGCTTCCATGGACTTGCTTCCAGTCTCCGAGTGCCATTCAGGCTCGTTCGGAAGCGGAGATGTGTCGGTGGTCACGCAAATTAGAAAAGATTTGTGATCTTCGAACTAGCGACTTTGGGGGCGCATGTCAAAGTGATCCAGGAATTTCTTCTCATCTTCAGACTTTTAGCTCGTTTTCGCTTCCAATGAAAGTGGGTTCTCGGGGAAAAATCAGGTTCAACCCAGTTTTCATAAAACTCGTTCTGGGTGCAAAAATCAGAAATATCGGGTTTTATCCAAAAACGAGAGACCCTGGGAATGAATGATTCATGAAATTCTGCTGCAATTCTACTGTCCTATTATTAAAGAGCTATCTTGGGTCCAACTAATATTTAACAAAAAAGGATCATAATGCACTAGATAAAAAAAAATATAAGCACCATAGTGTTGTTTTTCTCGTTCGCGTTGGCAAACTGATAACATAAGTGGATGTGCGGTTAGGTATGCGTCAAGCGCAAGCGACATATCTATATATTGCCGCCGGCGCAGCTGACCAAATAGGCAGCGTACTAGAGGCCTAACTGTTATCGCGCTTGCCTTCCACGCAGGAAGCCAATGGGCTCAATGCCTGGCCGCGGATGTACATTTTTGTTGACTCTAATGTGTTGTTCTAGTAAATTCGAGAACCGTGTTGCTCATTCGAGGTTAAAATGTTGTACGCGCCCAACCTTCTACGACGACTGTTCCAGAAGCCTACGCGTGAACAAAAAGGGCTTGACGTGGCAATCCGCGGTCAGTCTCGCTCCAGCGTCCGATTCTGCTGTTACGCGGAC